CACAGGGACAGGCCCTCTGCTGGGACTCTGAGGAGCACAGGGACAGGCCCTCTGCTGGGACTCTGAGGAGCACAGGGACAGGCCCTCTGCTGGGACTCTGAGGAGCACAGGGACTGGCCTCTTGCTGGTTGCCTTGTGTATCAAACAGGTGACGTCCCATATGTAGACTCCACAGTGTTACTTGCAGACTGATGTTTGGCCGTGTGTTGATAGAAATTATAATTCACATTTTGTCCTTGTATTTTCAAACCTCTGTGTTCTTTTGAGTATTCTTCTTAAAAACATTTTTACACATTAAGTATTTTATCTTCAGTCAAATCTATGTTTACATGTGCTCAAACCTGTACTGAAAGCGTTAGACCACTAGAGGGAGCTACGCCGTCACCCATACAGTAAACAGACTGTTCCTGACTCGTCCAGGAGGTGGCAGTGTTCTCCCGCCAAAACCACGGCCTCAGACTCTAATATCGTTCATCACAGACAGATTCATTCTGCAATCAACATTCTTTAAGCAGAATATGCATTTATAAAGTTCTTTGTTTCTGTTTCTTGCAGAGAAACAGAAAAACATATTCTTCTTCAAAGGTAAAGTTTATTGTCAAGTTTTAAACCCATATTTCTCATGAATTTAAAACCGAGATCAGAAGCTTCATAATCAGTGAGTGCGTTTTACATTTGTGCGTGTGTTTTTGTATGTGTTTGTATGTGTCTGTGTGTGTGTATTTATATGTTTGTGTGTGTATTTATATGTGTGTGTATGTGTGCCAGTTTGTGTTCATGTGTGTGTGTGTCCATGTGTTTGTGTGTCACTGTGTGTGTCCATGTGTTTGTGTGTCAATGTGTATGTGTCCATGTGTGTGTTTGTGTCCATGTGTTTGTGTGTCTATGTGTGTGTCCATGTGTGTGTGTCTATGTGTGTGTGTCCATGTGTTTGTGTGTCCATGTGTGCGTGTGTTCATTAGTGTTTGTGTGTCCATGTGTGTGTTCATTTGTGTTTGTGTGTCCGTTTGTGTTTGTGTGTTCATGCTCATTTGTGTTTGTGTGTGTCCGTTTGTCTGTCCATGTGTGTGTCTGTCCATGTGTGTGTTCATTTGTGTTTGTGTGTGTCCATGTGTGTGTAAGTAAGTAAGAAAGTAAGTAAGTAATCTTTATTTATATACCGCCTTTTCACTGCAGGTCTGAGTCTCAAAGCGGTTTACAATTGTTAATTTTTGGGCATTTGTCTCTCGCTCCACACAGAGATTGGAGCGGGGTCGCCAGTACAGGAGGCGCATGCTAGAACTATTGGACATATTTTTAGTGGTAGGGGAAACCGGAGTACCCGGAGGAAACCTACGCAGACACGGGGAGAACATGCAAACTCCACTCAGAAAGGCCCTGGTCCGACCGGGATTCGAACCCAGGACCTTCTTGCTGAGAGGCGAGAGTGCTATCCACTCAGCCACCGTGCCGCCCCGTGTGTGTGCTCATTTGTGTTTGTGTGTCCATGTGTGTATGTGTCCGTTTGTCTGTCCATGTGTGTGTGTGTTCATTTGTGTTTGTGTGTCCATGTGTGTGTGTGTGTCCATGTGTTTGTGTTTCCGTGTGTGTGTGTCTATGTGTTTGTGTGTCCGTGTGTGTGTGTCCATGTGTGTGTGTGTCTATGTGTGTGTTTCCATGTGTGTGTGTGTCCATGTGTTTGTGTGTCCATGTGTGTGTGTGTCTATGTGTGTGTTTCCATGTGTGTGTGTGTCCATGTGTTTGTGTTTCCGTGTGTGTGTGTCTATGTGTTTGTGTGTCCGTGTGTGTGTGTCCATGTGTGTGTGTGTCTATGTGTGTGTTTCCATGTGTGTGTGTGTCCATGTGTTTGTGTGTCCGTGTGTGTGTGTCCATGTGTGTGTGTCTATGTGTTTGTGTGTCCGTGTGTGTGTGTCCATGTGTGTGTGTGTCTATGTGTGTGTGTGTCCATGTGTGCGTGTGTCCATGTGTTTGTGTTTCCGTGTGTGTGTGTCCATGTGTGTGTGTCTATGTGTTTGTGTGTCCATGTGTTTGTGTGTCTATGTGTGTGTGTGTCTATGTGTGTGTGTGTCCATGTGTGTGTGTGTCCATGTGTTTGTGTGTCCGTGTGTGTGTGTCCATGTGTGTGTGTGTCCGTGTGTGTGTGTCCATGTGTGTGTGTGTGTCTATGTGTCCATGTGTGTGTGTCCATGTGTGTGTATCCATGTGTGTGTGTGTGTCTATGTGTGTGTGTGTCCATGTGTGTGTGTCTATGTGTGTGTGTCCATGTGTTTGTGTGTCCATGTGTGTGTGTGTCCATGTGTGTGTGTCCATGTGTGTGTGTGTGTGTCTATGTGTGTGTGTGTCCATGTGTCTAAGGACATAAATGATACAGAACATGTATAAACACATATGGACTGTGGTTGTTCCTCTCCCTGTGGACCAGTGCCTCCTGTGTGTTCAAAACACATTCAGATTCAGTTCATTTACAGTAAAACCACATTGGAATAGATTTGCAAAAGTTGCCAGTGTGCACCAGACAAATACATATATACATATAACTTGTACATAGAGCTAAAATAATTATTAAGAGAAGTCTTTTAAGTTACAAAATTGAAGAACAGAAGAAAGGGGTGGGAGTATATGTGTTTACATCCCCCACTCCTCTTCAGATGGACTTAGTTGCCTCCTTCTAGGGCAGATGAGATCATACAGTAAATGTTAGTTGTTTATTTTATGTACTTCATTTGTTAATTTTTTAATTTTATTAAGTTGCTATTACTTTAATTGTTCTATTGCCGTCTGAATAAATAAATGAACAAATAAATAAAAACATACACAAAACAACAAAAAACATTTCATTCTCTCATCGGTCGTTGGCAAATCAATGATTCGCCGACAACAGATCAGAGAACCAAACTGTTAAAACACACGCAATAATAACAAACCCACAGGAGCCAGAGCTGATTTAAAGTTTATTCTCTGAGCCACAGGAAGCCAGCGGAGACCTGAGAACTGGACTAATGTGATGGTACTTCCTGGTTCTGTCACGTGACCAATTAAACCTGAAACACAGAACTGCAATAAAGAAGGGTTTAATAAAACGTAAAACAGAACTAAAATGAAAGAAAAAGATGCCAAAGTTACAAAACAGGGGTCGAGGACAAGAACTAAAACTGAGGTGGGGATGAAAATGACGGAACAAGGAGCGAATGGAAACACAGGGTTTGAATACTAGCCAAACGAGACACAGGTGATGCTAACGAGACACAGGTGATGCTAACGAGGGCGGGGCAGGTAACCAGGAAACAGGAAGTAACACCAAAGACATAAATTACAAAATAAAACTGTAAATTAACCTAAAGCACGACAGTTTCTAGTTGGGACCAGTGCGCTTACATGTGGCAATCTCACTCCGGGCCAGTGGTGGGGGTGTACCCGGAAAGAGAATTACCCAATGCTTTTGTATAGTGTCTCTTTACCTCTTTACAGAATGGTCCAAAAGTCGCTGTTGATCCAAAGCTACGTTGTAAATGCTGTCGATGCTGAGGGGAGTGTATTTTTTGGACCAGTCTAGTTTAACCGCTGTTGTCTTCAGAATGCACTCGTCAAATGAATGAGGCTAGTGTTTTTTTCACATTGTCCAGCTCATCGAAGTGATGTCACATTAGTCTGAACGACCAAGACAGGCGTGACTAAGTCTGTTCATATTTACAGTCTGTGGTAGAGACTTGAGCTGCAAACCAGACTCTGTTTTTCGTTTCGACTGTTAATGATCCATACACATGTTTTGTTAAGCACTTTGAGAGGCCTCGGGTATGAACTGTGCCATACAAATAACCTTCCCTCGCCTGTACTTAATCATGTACAGTATCTAGTCACATAATTCCCAGATCTCTGCTACAGCCGCCGGACAAAAGCTCGTATGTAAAAGTCACTGGTCGCTCTGACACCTCCACTCCTCCAGCAGATTGATTAGCCCTGCTCCTCGGGACATTAATTGGTGAAGTGCCACGGGGGCCCCTCACAGGCTGTAGGGGCCCCTCCTCCCCCCCAGTGCATGATGGTATATCACTGCTGCTGCTGCTGCGTGAACGGCCCTCCCCGTGCTTTCCCAGGAGCCGCAGACAGGTGCGCACTCAATGGAGCTTAATGGGACTTCATGAAACGAATTAAAACACAGGCAAAAATAATCATGATTATGTTAATGATGGTTTTGTCTCAGGCGTGTGCGAGATGAGGGTGGGACGTCCCGGAGCAGAGGGCCCAGGACCAGCAGAGGGCCTAGGACCAGGCAGGACAGCAGAGAGCCAGGACCAGCAGAGGGCCTAGGACCAGGCAGGACAGCAGAGAGCCAGGACCAGCAGAGGGCCCATGCCAATGCTATCGTTTGTTTGCTAATGGTTTTAATTGTGGGACAAATGTGAGAGAGTGTTGGCAAAATAGATACAAACATATGGAGCATAAAATCTCACCTTGACTTTTGATGCCGCACACACGTCCTGCTGTTACCTGTGACACTAGGGGGCGCTGTCCTCCATGTACGAACTGCTTTATACAGTCTCCTGCTGTCCTCTGAGGAGCACAGGGACTGGCCTCCTGCTGGTCCCAGAGTCAGGACTAAGCATGGAAAGTCAGAAAATCAGACTTTGCAGCAAAAATCTGAAAGAGTTTTTAGAAAAATGTGAGACAGGCCTTTCCCACTTGTACCTGTGTGAAATTATTCCCTGTGCTTTTCCACACTTGTACCTGTGTGAATTAATTCCCTGTGCTTTTCCCCACTTGTACCTGTGTGTATTTATTTTGTGTGCTTTTCCCCACTTGTACCTGTGTGCATTTTTTCCCTGTGCTTTTCTCCACTTGTACCTGTGTGCATTTATTCCCTGTGTCTTTCCCCCGTTGTGTCTACACCACATTTGTTCTCTGCTTGTTTTTCAGATCTGGATTTTTGTATTTTGTCGTTACCTTGGATTTATCTGACCAATCAGAGGCCTTTCTGGGGAAAACTTGCCTTAGCAACCATCTTAGCAACCATCAAAACAACCCTTCTTCTTCTTCTTCTTCTTCTTCTTCTTCTTCTTCTTCTTCTTCTTCTTCTTCTTCTTCTTCTTCTTCTTCTTCTTCTTCTTCTTCTTCTTCTTCTTCTTCTTCTTCTTCTTCTTCTTCTTCTTCTTCTTCTTCTTCTTCTTCTTCTTCTTCTTCTTCTTCTTCTTCTTCTTATTATTATTATTATTATTATTATTATTATTAAATTCAGAGTCATGTAAACGTCACTTTGATTCCCCGCTCTCGTTGGACACCTTGGGCCCAGTTTGAGATCCTCACACAAACATAAGCTGCTGGTCTTTAACCCCTCATGCTGGGGGCCCTTTGGAGAGGGACATAAAGAGGTAATAGAGTCCCCCGAGGGCCCGGAGGCTCCCAGGGGACTCCGGCTCTGAGCTACATCCTGAGGCGGGACATAACTCTCTCTCAGCGTCAGTCACGGCTTCTAAGTCTCTGTTCAAGGAAGATTAATGAACGTGAATTTGGAATACTGAAAAATGTGTACAGTGTAAATATTTATTTGTTTATAGTCACTATTGAAGTTGCTATATGAGAAACCGGGAGACTTTCCATTCACCTCCTCCCCGTGTTCCACAGCCTTAGTCCTGGGTCTGCAGCCTCAGTCCTGGGTCTACAGCCTCAGTCCTGGATCTACAGCCTCAGTCCTGGATCTACAGCCTCAGTCCTGTCTACAGTCTCAGTTCTGGGTCTACAGCCTCAGTCCCGGATCTACAGCCTAAGACCTGGATCTACAGCCTCAGTCCTGGGTCTACAGCCTCAGTCTTGGGTCTACAGCCTCAGTCCTGGATCTAAAAGCCTCAGTCCTGGGTCTACAGCCTCAGTCCTGGGTCCACAGCCTCAGTCCTGGATCTACAGCCTCAGTCCTGGATCTACAGCCTCAGTCCTGGGTCTGCAGCCTCAGTCCTGGGTCTGCAGCCTCAGTCCTGGATCTACAGCCTCAGTCCTGGATCTACAGCCTCAGTCCTGGGTCTACAGCCTCAGTCCTGGGTCTACAGCCTCAGTCCTGGATCTACAGCCTCAGTCCTGGGTCTACAGCCTCAGTCCTGGATCTACAGCCTCAGTCCTGGATCTACAGCCTCAGTCCTGGATCCTCTTTTAGCCACTGCTTGCCGATGCAGAAAGACAGTGAATATCCATTTATGTTTTAGCATTTGTTTATTAAGCCAAAGCTAGAGATTTTAAACTTGTTTCTTTATTATTAATTATAGATTTAATGGTTTGATTCTCTGATCTTCTGTTGGTGAATGTGACCTTCTTAAATAAACAAATACATTTATAATAACAACAGGAACACATTTAGTCCGAGCACGACCCTCTTCATTTACAAAGGTCAGGTTTTTTCTCTGAGACGCTTCCAGAACGTTTGAGCAAGAGGTCAGAGGTTAAACTGCTCCCAAGGGAATCACACAAACACATGGATCGCTCTCTACAGTGCTCTGTGATCTGTGAAGTGTCTTGCTCAAGGACATTGTGACGATTAACATATGGTTAGATCGTCTGGATACCAATAATACTGTAAGACGTTCATAGTTTTGTGTACAGCGCTTTTCTGGACGCTCAAAGACGCTTCAGATTCATGCTTCATTCACTCCATACACGGCTGCCCTGGGGCACACTGACAGAAGCGAGGCAACCAGTCTGTGCCATCGGCCCCTCCCACCACCACCAACCATTCACACACACACCAGACTCATTCTAATGTGGGGGAAGTGTCTTGCCGAAGGACACAGCCACAGTTTTTTTACGTTACGGCCGCAGCCGCCCCACTGTGGCACCTGCTGTTCCCATAGACTGAACTAGCTCAATGAACCCCAATAGGGAAGTGCTCATGGATGAAGTTTTGCGCCAACTCACTCTGGCTCCTATTGACTTAAAATGTGTGGTTTATCTTAGCGCTAACCGTGATCCTGGTGTTTATATTGTGAGATTGTCTTTGTAAATCCAGATCTGAACCACTGACCAATCAGATGTGGGAAAATCAAGCCTGCCTTAGCAACCGTCTTAGCAACACATCTACCCTGATTAGCTAACGCCAGGGAAAAACAAATGCCCATATAAGGAAATTGGCTCCAGCTAGCTTAAGTTCAAATCAACATCTTCACATTTCACGATGGTCACGTCAGCTCCATGGGGCTGTCTCACATCACAGCACTAACCAGGGCCTGTCCTGCTTAGCTTGAGAGGTGTGACAGGATCTAGCACTTCCTGGTTCAGGTCAGAACTCAAGCTGCAGTGTTTTTTAACATATTTCCGCTGTATACTCGAAGAAAAAGTAGAGAAAAGTGAATTAAGAGAGAATGCAGACAGACCTATAGCCTGTTAAGAGACACACCCCTCTCCAATTTCCATCCCATTATGGTCTTTACAACGTCGAGGATTTAAAACGGGACGTAAACAAAGCCTCATCAACGCCGCCGAAGTCTCTCTACATAAGTGATTACGTAATTATGCACTTGCTTATGTTTCTGATCAGATCCTTCACGGTGGAATTAGCGATGAAGCTTCCAGCGCCTTAGCAAAACAGCAACAGTCTCATCAGGGCTAATCCCGGCGTCGTTAGCAGCTAGCACCCGCCCTCCAATCAGGTCTGCGCAACCACGGCAGAAAGATGAGCCTCCGTGATTATTGAAAGACATTAAAGCGTGTAGGGTTTTCGCCGTTTATGAGCGTTTTGAGTTCATGGGGTAATACCAGGTGTAAATGATCGTTTTGGAAGCAGTTTGGGCGCAAATTGTTCATGAAAAAGATTATAGATTTCTGAGAATGAGGCGCTGTTCGAGTTTTATTTAGATTAAGATTGAGAGATCCTTTATTCGTCCCACAGTGGGGAAATTTCAGTGTTGCATCACAAGTTACAGAACAGTTGGAAAGAGGAGCACACAGCACAAGATAAGTGAACAATAGCTCTAAACCACATGTGTCAAAGTCAAGGCCCGCGGGCCAAATCTGGCCCGCGGCCCACTATTACGTCAATTGCGTTTTCTGCTATTTTCATGTTCCCAGATGTCTATTATATCTAATATGTTTGGGGATAAGCTTGAGAGCATATTGAATCGAGCCAGCAGGTGGCAGCAGCGCTCTCTGAATGGTTTGAAAACAGCTAGATGCACTTGTTGTGCCTCTTTTTTCTCAGCTTTTTGGTGATTTCAGTAAAACTTCCCTCTACTCAACTGGGGATTACAAGCTAGAAACAAAATTATTTTTGCTGATGAAAGTAGACTTTCTAGTAGTCTATTCTTTCAGAATCTGGTTTCGGATTTCAGATAGTCATAGTACACAATATTCTGTGGGTCTTGAAATATCTATAAAAATCATCAGAAACTGCTGGCAATATGGGAGTACCTGTTCTGAAATAGGCTGGCAGGCAATGAGTTAATAAACATTGAACCAGTCCGGCCCTCAGCTCGCAGCAAATTTGTTTTTTTGGCCCTCTGATGCATTTGACTTTGACATGCCTGCTCTAAACTAATTAACTCATTGACTGCCATTGACGTATTTGCCTGAGACCCTCTTCTCGACGGGGGATTACAGGACAACAAAATTAGCAAGAAACAAACTTATTTTTGCTGATGAAAGTAAACAATCGAGTCCTTCAAAATCTGGTTTGATATTCTACATAGTCTTAGTAAAAAACATCTTGTTGGTCTTGAGAATCAGTGAAATCATCCAAAACGGCCGGCAGTCAGTGAGTTAAATGAAACAAAATCTCTAATAGCATCAAAGAACAAGTATAACATTTCTTTCATGGAAATAATAATAATAAAAAAGAAGTATAAAAGTTTTACATTTGGCAAAATAAGCGGCAAGTTAGTGTTTTCCAATAGTAGATTTTGAATTTAGAGGTACACTGTGTAGTTTTTACTCTAGCGTTGGGATCTTATATTGCAGTCCGAGGTACTACGGAAGCCTTTAATAGACAATATCTCAGTGCTCCTCAACTCTCAGTCATTCACCGGGGCCAAGGAACGAGCTCTATAGATAAATGACCGGATCTCTCCAAACGTCTCTGGCACCGGACACAGTCGCTTGGAGGTGACATGTAAACAGGACCATGTTCTGAAGTTTAAAATGGACAGATACTAAAAAATAAAGGTGAAGGCTCTGATGCAACAGGAAGGAATCTAAAATACTTGGACAGGCTTTTGGATCTGTTATCGCAGAGCAGAGAAGAGTAGAGTAGGGTAGGGTAGAGTAGGGTGGAGTAGGGTGGAGTAGAGTACAGTAGAGTAGAGTAGAATAGGGTGGAGTAGGGTAGAGTACAGTAGAGTAGAGGAGAGGAGAGTAGAGTAGAGTAGAGTAGGGTAGAGTAGAGTAGAGTAGAGTAGAGTAGAGTAGAGTAGGGTAGAGTAGAGTAGAGTAGAGTAGAGTAGAGTAGAGTAGAGTAGGGTAGGGTAGAGTAGAGTAGAGTAGAGTAGAGTAGAGTAGGGTAGAGTAGAGTAGAGTAGAGTAGAGTAGGGTAGGGTAGATGAGGGTAGGATAGAGTAGGGTAGGGTAGGGTAGGGTAGAGTAGAGTAGAGCAGAGTAGGGTAGGGTAGAGTAGGGTAGAGTAGAGTAGGGTGGAGTAGAGTAGAGCAGAGTAGAGTAGAGTAGGGTGGAGTAGAGTAGAGTAAAGTAGAGTAGAGTAGAGTAGGGTAGAGTAGAGTATAGTAGAGTAGAGTAGAGCAGAGTAGGGTAGAGTAGAGTAGAGTAGGGTGGAGTAGAGTACAGTAGAGTAGAGTAGAGTAGAGTAGAGTAAGGTAGAGTAGAGTAGAGTAGGGTAGAGTAGAGTAGAGTAGAGTAGGGTGGAGTAGAGTAGAGTAGAGTAGAGTAGAGTAGAGTAGGGTAGAGTAGAGTAGAGTAGAGTAGAGTAGAGTATAGTAGAGTAGAGTAGAGTAGAGTAGAGTAGAGTAGAGTATAGTAGAGTAGAGTAGAGTAGGGTAGAGTAGAGTAGGGTAGAGTAGAGTAGAGTAGAGTATATTAGAGTAGATTAGAGTAGAGAAGGGTAGAGTAGAGTAGAGTAGAGTAGAGTAGAGATAGAAACGGCCTTTAACTTTGCCTTCTCATTCTTAGTAAAAAAACCTCAACATTATCCTGACTCTTCCATTCTCCACCAACACCACCAGACTTTTAACAAACCCCCCCCCCTCTCTCCCCCGCCCCTCCCCTCTCTCTCCCCCTTCTCCTTGACCCTCGAGCAACACCCCTCCGACCTCCGACAACCGCAGGACCCCCTCGGACCCACCTCCACCCTCACCCCTCCCCCGACCACGTCATCGGGATCCAAACGCTGGACATTAAAGGGGAGGTGCACCGAGGGGTGGCTTTTGTCCGGTTCTATGTCCATCTTACCCCCTTTCCATTCCACTCTCTTTCATAGGTGCTGTGTGGTAGGGGTCTTTGTTGGGTTTGGGTCGTGTGTAATTGCTCCGTCTGGGATTAAAGGGCACCCCTGCTGGTCGCTAAACGTGATCCTATCCCTCCGTCACAATGTGCTGATTATTACCATTCGTTAGATCTTTACAAAGGTCTTAGCTCAGGGTTTGTCCAGTCACGACATGACGGAAGAATAGGCCGAAGCCCTCTGGTCTCTTTCTCTCTGGTCTCACTCTGGTCTCTTTGGTCTCTCTCTGGCCTCTTTGGTGTCTCTCTGGTCTTATTTTCTGGTCTTTCTCTTGCTGATCTCTCTCTGGTCTCTTTCTCTGTTATCTCTCTCTTTCTAGTCTTTCTCTCTCTCTGATGCATCTCTCTCTCTCTCTCTGATCCATCTCTCTGGTCTCACTCTCTGGTCTCATTCTCTGGTCTCACTCTGGTCTCACTCTGGTCTCTGTCCCTGGACTCTCTCTTTCTGATCTCTTCCTCTGGTCTCTATCTCTGGTATCTCTCTCTTTTCTCTTTGCTCGTTCTCTCTGTGGTTTCTTTGCTCTCTCTGCCTGGTCTCCCTCTGGACTCTTTGCTCTCTCTCTCTCTCTGGTCCCTCTCTCTCTCTGGACTCTGCTCTCTCTCTTTGCTCTCTCTCTCTCTGGTCTCTCTCTCTCTGGAGTCTTTGCTCCCTCTCTCTCACTTTGATCTCTTGGCTCTCTCTCTTTAGGGTCTCACCTCCGTGTATAAACCAAGGGTGTATCACTCAGACCTTTGACAGAGAGAGAAGCAGTCGAGCAGCGCGATATTAAAGAACGTCAGAACCAATCTCAGCGGTGTCTTTAACGGCCAAATGGACTGTGAAGCTGCAGAGACGAGATGCTGTTTTCATTTCTCTTACATCTCAGCTTAGTTTTGTTTGATCCAAAATGGTGGCCTCCTGTTGGATCATCGGAATGAGACCAGGGTCAAGGGTCCACAGGCGACAGTAATGAGAGAAACTCTATTCTTAGATATGAATATGAGGCTTTAAAAAGTAGATATACCCTCACTAAACACTGGATTGGATGAAAATTATTTTGATATAAAATATTGATTATTGAGAGTCGAGGGACCAGAGTGAAACCAGAGAAAGAGAGACCCGAGGAAGACTAGAGAAAGAGAGAGACCCGGGAGAGACTAGAGAAAGAGAGAGACCAGAGAGAGGCTTAAGAAAGAGAGAGACCCGAGAGAGACTAGAGAAAGAGAGAGACCAGAGAGAGACTAGAGAAAGAGAGAGACCAGAGAGAGACTAGAGAAAGAGAGAGGCCAGAGAGAGACTGGAGAAAGAGAGAGATCAGAGGGATAGATTTGTGATAGAGAGATAAAAGAGTTCTATTTGGTCTCTCTCTCAGGTCTCTTGCTGATCTCTCTGGTCTTTCTCTCTGGTCTCTCTCTCACTCTGGTGAGAGGGTTTTTTCTGTATTTCTCTTGTCTCTCTCTGGTCTCTCTCTCTGGTCTCTCTCTGGTCTCCCTCCGGTCCCTCTCTGGTATCTCTCTCTGGTCTCTCTCTAGTCGCTCTCTGGTCTCTCTCTAGTCGCTCTCTGGTCTCTCTCTGGTGTCTCTCTGGTCCCTCTCTGGTCCCTCTCTGGTCTTTCTCTCTGGTCTCTCTCTGGTCCCTCTCTAGTCTCTCTCTCGTCTGTCTCTGGTCTCTCTCTGGTCCCTCTCTAGTACCTCTCTGGTCCCTCTCTGGTCTCTCTCTGGTCTCTCTCTGGTCCCTCTCTCTTACTGGTTTCTATGTCTCTCTCTCTCTGGTCTCTCTCTGGTCTCTCTCTCTGGTCTCTCTCTGGTCCCTCTCTCTTACTGGCTTCTATGTCTCTCTCTCTCTGGTCTCTCTGGTCTCTCTCTGGTCTCTCTCTCTGGTCTCTCTCTGGTTCCTCTCTCTTACTGGTTTCTATGTCTCTCTCTCTCTGGTCTCTCTCTGGTCTCTCTCTCTGGTCTCTCTCTGGTCCCTCTCTCTTACTGGTTTCTATGCTCTCTCTCTCTGGTCTCTCTGGTCTCTCTCTGGTCTCTCTCTGGTCTCTTGCTGGTCTCTCTCTGGTCTCTTGCTGGTCTCTCTCTGGTCCCTCTCTGGTCTCTCTCTGGTCTCTCTCTGGTCTCTGGGTTTGTCTGAGTGGTTCTTTGCCCTCTGTCTGCTTCCTCCCCTGTATGTGTTTCACTACACACTAAAACAATAATTTAGTTTTATCCTAACTGTACAACACTTAAGAAACGTACAAACTCCTGCACAAACAAAGACATACTGTTATTATTATTAACCTCAAATCTTTTTCCGCACACAAACACATTTTCCCGCTGCTTGCCTTTGAAAAAACAGCCACAAACCGACACACTTCATCCATCCGCTGTTGGAGAAAAGTCAAAGTACTTCCCCTTTATCCTCCGTGTAAACTGTCGTCTCGTTTAGCGCACCGCGATAGCACCGTTAGCTACTGTACGCGCGACGGGGGAACCATAAAACCGTCACGCGCACATTGTCACGTCATGTCAGTTCCCCCCTGAAAACACGACCCAGCGAGGGAGGTTCCCGCTAACCGACCGCAGAGAAGAAGTGCTTGTTGCCTTTATGCAAATTGGCATCAGATGCAGGGTTTTTCTTTCTTTTTTCTCTCCCCCTCTCCACAAAGGGCGCTTGTGACTGTGCCCAATGGGAGAGGTGAGCAGGGGTTATGGGGATAGCATCACCGCTACATTCCCATCCGCTGCAATGGACAACCACAACCACGACCCGGTTATTACTTTGGCGCAGATTAGCGACTCGTTAATTAGCGAAGGCATGCGGTCTCTCATTTAGCGTTTGTATCCGATTCGTGGCTTTCTCTCACTCTTTTTTTTTCACGTGGCTAGGTTTGGGGTGGATGAGGTAATGCGGAGGAGAGACCCCCCTTTCTTCGATCGCACCATTCCCCCGAGGGTCTGTTTCAAATCACAGAGGATTAACTAAAACTAATGGTACCGTGGGTCTGTGTGCCCTCTGTCTGCGTTATGTCCTTTACCCTCTCTCGCCTCCTTCTGGTTCCTCTATGGTCTCTTCCCAGTCTCTCTCTGGTCTCTCTCTTCAGTCTTTCTCTGGTCCCTCTCTATCTGAACGCTCTCTGGTCTCTCGCTGGTCTCTCTCTCTGGTCCCTCTCTCTGGTCTCTCTCTCTGGTCCCTCTCTCTGGTCTCTCTCTCTGGTCTCAGTTTGGTCTCGCTCTCTCTGGTCTCTCTCTCTGGTCTCAGTTTGGTCTCGCTCTCTCTGGTCTCAATCTCTCTGGGCTCTCACTTGTCTTTCCTTCTTCTCTCTGTGGTCCCTCTCTCTGGTATCTCTCTCTGGTCTCTTTCTCTCTGGTCTCTTTCTCTCTGGTCTCTCTCTTGTCTCTCTCTCTCTCTCTGGTTTCTCTCTCCCTCTCTGGACTCTCTCTCTCTCTCTCTCTCTGATCTCTCTCTATTATTTCTCGCTGGTCTCTTCCTCTTCTCTCTCGCTCTCTGGTCTCTCCCTCTTCTCTCTCTCTCTGGTCTCTTTCTCTCCCTCACTCTCTTGTCTCTCTCTCTGATCTCTCTTTAGTCCTTCTCGCTGGTCTTTCTCTCTGATCTCTCTCTGGTCTTCCTATTATCTCTCTGGTCTCTCTCTTGTCTCTCTCTCTCTCTCTCTCTCTCTCTCTCTCGGTTTTTTCTCTGGTCTCTCTCTCTGGTGTCTCTCTCTGGTCTCTCCCCCTCTGCTCTCCCTCTCTCTCTGGTCTCTCTAACATTATGAGTCTCCCCATTCTCCGATCGCACCATTCCCAAAGGGTTTGTTTCAAATCACGGACAAGGATTAACTAAAGCGAATGGTTCCATGGTCCTTATACAGAGCCTTTGAGCTTTAGCGCCTACATGGTTACAAGATTAGCTTCGGAAATGTATGGCCTTTTCCGATGGCGAGTCTGGTAAATTTGCTCTCTTTAATTTCAGGCTAATTTTAGATTGAGTGGATCCATACGGGGCCATTTCTCATTAATTCTTTCTGCTAAACGACTGCAGCCACTTTTGCTTTCATTGTCTCCACCAGAGTAGAGTCGAGGAGGGATCAGAATTGTTCAGCATTCGCCAACTCCATTCCAAGAGTGGAAAAGTCAATTTGAGTCAAGTTTGGGTATAGCCCAGTCTCTCAACAATGTGCCTTTTCCCATGCCCCCTGTAGAGCTATGAAATTGCACTGTACTTTAACACTTTCTGCAGGGCAAAAAGGGGAAAGTATTCGGAAATATTCTGTAATGGTTAATCATTTTTCTACCACTGAAGGATCCAGTAGATGTATTAGGATTGTGGAAAAAAACGTTGGCCTAGTTCAAGAACGGAAGAGACAAAAGCTGTTCTTAATGTATATAACACTGACTGTACAGAGAGGGGCGACAGTAGCTCAGTTGGTAGAGCATTGGCCTTTGAGCCTGAAGGTCGTGGGTTCGAGCCTACCTCAAGACCTACTTCACGACTCCCACTGATGACTGCTGTCGTTGTGTCCTTGGGCAAGACACTTAACCCCACTTTGCCTGAAGCCCCCACTGAAAGATCTCAGCTCCTGTGGACTCACCACCTGCAGGAGGATCAGTGAGGGGCTGGTGCTCTGTGAACTGGGTGCAGCACTGACTGCCACCCCCCCGACCCAGAAATGGATTAAGGGGTAGAAAATGGATGGATGGATGTACAGAGAGAGAGAGAGACCAGAGAGAGACCAGAGAGAGGCTGAAGAGGGACCAGAGAGAGACCAGAGAGAGGCTGAAGAGGGACCAGAGAGAGACCAGGGAGAGGCTGAAGAGGGACCAGAGAGGGACCAGAGAGAGGCTGAAGAGGGACCAGAGAGACTGAAGAGAGACCAGAGAGAGGTGAAAGAGAGAGAGACTAGAGAGAGACCAGAGAGAGGCTGAAGAGAGACCAGAGAGAGACCAGAGAGAGGCTGAAGAGAGACCAGAGAGAGGTGAAAGAGAGAG